AGTGTAGGGAACAATCGAGATACATGATATCATCTTTCCCAGGAGCTGGGAAAGACCGGAAGCAGAGTATTTCTCTGCAGACCTTGAGAACCAGGTCCCGTATACTGTCCCTGTGTTCCTGGGACAGATAAACCTGACACTCTACCGTGTCTATGATGGCTCCTAGGTGGAGCAATCTGGTCGATGGGACTGTCTGACTTTTCTTGAAATTAACCGAAAAGCCGTGACTCTGTAGGACTCCGATCACCAGTCTCAGTTCTGTCAGAGCCCCCTGCGGGGAGGACGACTGTATTAAGATGTCATCCAGGTAGCATTGCACCCGAAGCGGCATCAATCTCAGGTGTGCCGCAAGAACCGCCAGGACCTTAGAAAAGACCCTTGGAGTCGAAGACAGGCCGAATGGAAGTGCCCTGTACTGGTAATGATGTCCCATGTAGCTGAATCTGAGAAACTGGCGATGGCCGGGGATGATGGGAATGTGGAGATATGCCTCTGTGAGGTCCACTGAACTGAGAAAGTCCCCCTTCCGGATGCTGCCTAGTATGGACTAAAGTGTCTGCATTTTGAACCTTCGGTATGCCAAATAAAGCTTCAGGCGTTTTAGATCTAAGATTGCCCTCCATCCTCCTGAGGCCTTGGGGATTACAAAGAGGATGGAGTAGAATCCACGCCCCCGTTGGGCCATAGGTATTGGTTCTATGGCTCTGATGTCTAATAAGTGACGGATGGCCTCCTGCATGAGACCTCTCCTTGGACCTCTCCTTCTTTGATTGGGGGCAAGAAATGAACTGTCTTGGTGGACTGGAAATGAATTCCAGAGACAGGCTGTGGCAAATGGTGTCCAAGACCCAGGTGTCTCTGGTGGTGACCTCCCACTGAGTGACGAAGAGGGAAAGCCTTCCCCCTATGGGAGGATCCACTGGGGGGGTCACTTCCTGCGGAAGGGACGACCCCCGCCTTGAAAGGGCCGTTTGGACTGGAATTGCTGCCTGGGCCGTGGGGCTGGTCTGTCAGCCGGACGGTGCTGCCTGGGAGTGAAGGGCTGAGAAGGTTTTGTGGTTGGTGAAGTAGTGGCAGACCGAAAGATCTATCTACGATTGTAAGGGGTAGAATGCCTGTCGGACCGCTTAGTAATATGGGCTAAGATCTTCTTTTTATCCTTGTTCTCTGACAGGAATGGGGCTAAGGCATCCCCAAATGATTTGCCGCCCTGGTAAGGGGCTGCTGCCAGACACCACTTGGATTTGGTGTCTGCCTGCCAGTATCTTAGCCATAGCATGCGGCCGGTTGTCACGTTGGACGCCAAGGATCTGGAAGAAAATCGAGCTGCATGCAAAGTCGCATTGGAAGCGTATTCCATCGCGGCCACTAACTTTCTCAGGTCCTGATGTATGCGGACATCGTCCAAGGGGATCCTGGCCTGTAGCTGACGAAGCCAGATGAGGGCGGATCTACTGAAGAAGGAGGCTGAGGTGGACGCCCTGATGGACAACATTGCCGCCTGATGTGACCTTCTAAAGGTCATTTCCACTCTGTGTTCCTCAGATTTTAAGGCCTTTGCCATATCCCCTGAAATAGTGGAGGGGAAGAACAGGTGAGACAGGGGCTCATCCACCGTGGGAACATTCAACGCCTTATCTAATTCTGAGGCCACGCTAAACAACTTCTTATCATTACCACCTGGAAGGGGGAAGGTACCCGGGGAAGCCCATTGTTTCTTAACTGTGCTGAGGAACAAGCCTGGACATGGAACATGATGTTGGGTGACCACCGGTTCAACGAAGATGGGGTCCGCCTCTGGATCCATTGTGGGAGCCACTGCAGCGGGCCGGCTGGGTCCCCTGTGTGCCATCGAGCTAACCTTGTGAAGCAGGGGAAGAAAGAGAGATTGATTAAATAGCCCTCCAAATGGGGGTGGATCCAGAGCCGGTTCCTCCTCTTCTGACCATGAAGCATCAAGCGCCTGATCCTGGTCCGGGGTCACTGAGACCCCGCTAAAGGAAGAATGGGAGGGGGAAGGAGGGTCACAAGAACTGTGATGTACAGGACGCGAGAGAGGAATTGAAAGCAAGGATTCCGCTCTGGGCACCGATGGAGTCCTGACCGTAAGGGCCCGCTCCACTGCCTGAGTCACCAATGCCTGGATCCTATCGTCCACAGATGTAAGGGTGGGCTCCTCCCCTAAGCCCCGCAGCTGTGGGTGTAAAGGTGGCCTCCGGGGCCTGCAGGGCTCGTGGGGTAGAGGGAGGCCTGAAGGTATGTGCCTCAGGTACCTCCTCGGCTTGGCCATAAGAGGTGGAAGGTTCTGCCGGTGCCCAGTCTTCCTGAGGAGAAGAAGAAAGATCTAGAGGTAGATCAAAAAAGGTGGACTCAGTCTGAGCAGTCTCAGCCCTGGCCTGTTTTTGAGCCTTTGAAAACTCCTTTTCCAGTGCCTGCTGTCTCCTGCTGGCCTGTTTTTCAGCCAATTTGGAGGTTTCCCCCCCAGAGGCAGCCTTGGGTTTGACCTTGGCCGCGATCCTACCAGCGGCCTCTTGGGAAGTGGATCTGTGCCTTTTCCGGCCTGAGGAAGGAGGGGAGGCAACCCTGGGTTGGGAGGCCGTGTTATCCTCCATGCTGGTATGAAATCTTCAGGTGCTCGAGAGGGTGCACCTGGGAAAGGATCAATTAGCTGATAAGGGTGTAGGGCAAAGGCTGAATTAGGCTGCCCTACTCTCCGGCCACCAAACCAGTGGTATCCAAAAAACCAGTTCTACTTGCAATTGCTATTGCTTCCACCTGAAGTGGACTGCAGCCTGCTAGTGAGGCTTGCTGTGTTGCCAGGCCAGCAAAATAAAAGGTAGCAACAGTACAGTGTCAGAGGCTAGGACTACTGTAGTGATTAGCAAGCCCAAGGTGACCAGGGCTTGAGACACCAGAAAGCCCAATAAAGAACTCTTGGGCCTTTGCCAAGGGTAAGAGGATAATTCCAGATGTCACAAGGGGAAACTCCAAGGATGACCTGGGAGAACTTATTCCCCCCTCCAGACAACCTTGGCTGCTACAACTCAGGGAGGCCCTTTGCCCAAGGAGCCTCAGTGAGGCATTAATGGGGCACAAGACTGTTGCAAGAATGCGGCCTTGGTAGTAGGCCAAAGCCTCCAAGATGGCAGCTGTGGGCAGCGGGACCCCTGTGTCAATCTAGGCCTTCAATAAGGCTAATGAAAACCCCAGGGACTGAGAAGGAAAACGCCGCTACCAAGCTAATCGTTGCCAAATTAGGTGGAAATGTCTTTTTCCACCTCCTTCCCTTGCAGTCATCAAGGCTGAGGGACCACGCGGTCGCAAAATGGCAGCCGCGACTCAGGCCGATCACCCCCTCCAGCTCCGTAACGGATAGGACTCACCCGGCCTGTTACACCCTTCTCGGGGGGCCGGGGCCGAAAATGCCCTCCCCAGCTGATCGTCGGTGTTCAATCGAGTCCGCAGTCGACCGGAACGGCCGAGAAACGTGACGAGACAATCTGAGGCCCCTGCAGCCTCTGCAAGCTTTAAGGCCGTCGGAGCTGCAGCCGCAAGCTCTGACACCAGAGGAGAGTTGGGATCCTCACCGGAACAGCCGAAAACGTGGCAAGTCAATCCAAGGCCCCTGCGGCCTCCGCAAGCTAGGCCGGGCTCTTTAAGACCATCGGAGCTGCAGCCACAAGCATCGACGCCAGGAGAATTGGTGGGAGGGAGAGAATGAAGAAAAAGGAAAAAAAAACCCTTTCCTAAACGAGGAGGGTGTGGGGGGGTAATTTTGAGCACAAATGGAGTCCTCCATTTGAAAGGCTGAATCCCAATGGGAATCAGTAAGAAGTGGTCCTCTAGAGGAGCCTTTGTCCCAACGCTGCTCAGGGGACTCAAAGAGAAGGAAAGGTTAGTAATCTAATAATCTAACGGATAATCCACTAATAGTTATCGACCTGCCTGTGAGCCAAACCTGCACATCTGTTCTGGGCAAGATCAAGTCGAAAACTGGGGTAAACAGGCCCAGGACAGGCGTGGCAAGTTTGGCTGACTTGATCTGATTGGGCAGGAGGATTAAGTTAACCCATTAGTGGATTATCCATCTCCAGTGCTGGAGAATTTGTGCATACAAAGTCTCTCTGTATGGTTTTGTATGGCTCTCATATAGAATACTAACCATCTCACAATATAGGAATTTCACAACGAGCAACAAAGCTGTTCATTTACAAATTAGTGGCCCTTCTGATAGACCAGTTTGCAGATCCAAACATTTTTTAAAAAATATATACATCAGGACTAAAATAAATGCCTGGATTAAAGTTATGAAGTAAATTAACATGAGATCCTACCTAAGAGGTGCTAGTTAGCTAACTTAACTGTTCTGCCAACTGAACAAAGATGGTTCAGGCTAAGTTTGATATACTAAATAGGTTTGGAAGCAACAAGCTGTTTGAATTCAAACATTTTACACACTACTGCATTAACAAAACACAGTTGATGAATATATAAGTCTATGATAACTATAGATATATCATTCCTTTATATTATATATAAAAATATAATATACTTTATATTTTCTAATGTTTAAAATACTACTGAAATTAAAAACTGATTTCCAGAGCTTTTAACCGATACTGTGAAAAATCATGGTTCAACTACAGATGTATACTTTTGTCTCTCTGGCTGCGTTAATTCCTCCCTATTCTCATATAACGCTCCACAATAAATTCCCCTGAGTCCACTACAACTCCTGCTTTACGTTGTTGAATTATAACAACAATCTGCTCGATATTATAGCAGATGTTCTGCATTTAAGCCTTTGGGATCTTTATTAGATCCATTTCCTTTTCAACCTAAAAAAGGACATGCATTTATTCTCAGATTGGTGCGTATTTCACATTGGCCCCATTCCAAACATCTATACACATGACTGAGTAAAGAATTCACAACATGAAGTTCAGAGCCAAGGCAATTCTTATATTGTTCTTTAAAAAAAGTCTTAATTCAAAACTTACCTCAGTAACATCCATGACTTTAATAGCTGCCAACTGACCTGTCTTGACATGTCGACCCTAATAAAAAATAGAAAGAATTAGACTTCGCATTATTAATTAGAAGATTAATAAAGACATGACATCATTTGCAGCTCATTGTTTCACAGAATATCTATTTCATTCAATATATTTATTACAAGCAAAAAAAATGTAAAATTAAACATAAAAGTAATTCAACATTGTCCTTTTAAGAGAATTGCCAATATTTGTATAGTGTTCAGCCTTTAGTCAATATTTTTTGGAAACCAAGGCAGCCTGTGGTGTCTGCAGATGGAGGAAGCATTCTGTCATTCTGGTGCACCTTTTTTGCATGTATGTCATGATGTTCCACACACATACAGGGAGCAGAGCTGGACGAGAGCATCAAGATCTTGTGGACTCCCACAAAGGTGGCTGTTAAGTGTTAATAAAGACAGTCATCGGTGAACATTTCTTCTACTCCACAATAATCAGTCCTCAGCCACATTGTTTACTATGAGCCTGAAGACAAGCATCAGAAGTATCAATCTTTCTTAACTTCCCATTCCACAATCTTCTTCCATCTGCTAATGTTTTAGGTTCAAAAGAACACATTAAGGCCTCAGTATACAGCTCTACCACTCCCAAAAATCTCAAACTAAAGTATGAGTTTACAAAATATATTTATAGGTACTCCTCAATTTATGACCAGTCACTTAACAAATGTTCAAAGTTACAACAGATCCCCAAAAGCTTTTAAAACTCAGTTTCAAAGTTACGACAGCCACACACATATACACCTGCAGTCATGTGACTGCATTTTAGACACTTGGCAACAGGTTGTCTTTGTGGCTGTTTTAGTGTCTTGTCATCATCTGACCACAATTTGGAGGGGGGGGTTGCCCAGATTTATTTCCAGTTTCTGACAAAAATATTCCATTGGAGAAAATTGATTTGCTTAATGACCACAGTGTTCACTTAACAACTACTGAAAAAAATTGAAAAAAATCAGTTCCAGTCATGTGATGCCTTGACTTACAAATCCAATAACTTATGACTCTAATTCTGGGCTAAGTTACAGTTGTAAATTGAGGACTACCTGTATGTCTTATAAATGAGGGTATCCAGAATATATTTCTTGGAAAAACAACAATGATTTCCTATTGTTTGCAATTCATAATTTATTATAAAGTAAAATTTAATAGTCCGCATTCATATTAAAATGAACCCTCAGTGAAATTTGTTTCCTTTGAATGTTAAACCACTACAGAAAAACAAAAATAATTTTATTGAAACTAGTGATTTTGTCCATTTCTTTCTTTTTTTATTGAAAATTTTTAAGTTTTACAAAACAATTCCCTTCCCCAAACCCTCCCAACCCTCCCCTACCCTCCCCCGACCTTCCCAGAGCTGAATACAGGCTTAATTAAAAAAAATTTAAAAAAATCTTAAGACACATATAAACCATAAGCAAATCTAAATACATTAATTAAACAAATTATAAAATAGTTAACAACAATATGTATATATATATATATAAAATACCAGAAGGAAGGAAAAAAGAAACAGAAAAAGAAGAAATCAAATAAGAAGAAAAATAAAAAGAAAATTAAAAAAAAATTCTATAAAATATCTTAAATTTTAAATATAAATTATTCAAAAACTAAGTAATATTTTTATATCCAACTATATTGTATGAAATCTATCCATTTTTTCCATACCAGAAAATACTTCTCTTGCGATTGATCTTTCAAGAAAGCCGAAATCTTTGCCATTTCCACCAAATAAGAAACTTTAAGAAACCACTCTTGCAAAGTAGGCAAAGATTCCTTGAAAAAAATCAGTTCCAGTCATGTGATGCCTTGACTTACAAATCCAATAACTTATGACTCTAATTCTGGGCTAAGTTACAGTTGTAAATTGAGGACTACCTGTATGTCTTATAAATGAGGGCATCCAGAATATATTTCTTGGAAAAACAACAATGATTTCCTATTGTTTGCAATTCATAATTTATTATAAAGTAAAATTTAATAGTCCACATTCATATTAAAATGAACCCTCAGTGAAATTTGTTTCCTTTGAATGTTAAACCACTACAGAAAAACAAAAATAATTTTATGGAAACTAGTGATTTTGTCCATTTCTTTAGATCAGTTTGAACCTCTTCATTATTCTGAACTCTTAATAGTATACTCTAATATGCAAAAGACAGATAAGGTATCTGTTTGAATATTGATAGTAAACATACGCATTCAAATTTTGATGATGTAATTTCCTAGGCAATTCTTTGAAAAGATGTGATTTTGATGAAAAGCATATATTTGGTGCCTTTCATTTCCCTACAGCCAAGAGAAATAATATTAATCATGGAACACAGCATGGAAAAGCACAATTGGCTTTGTGATCTCTTTTTAGACCACTCTAAGAAACAGGATGCTGAACTAACTATTGTTAGACTTCTCCAATTTAAGGACTTAAAGCAGCAGTTCTCAACCTGTGGGTCGCGACCCTTTGGGGGATCGAACGACACTTTCACAGGGGTCGCCTAAGACCATCGGAAAACACATATATCAGATGGTCTTAGAAACCGAAACACTGCTCCTCTATCCGGCCGCCACCACCACCCTCCTCCTCCTCCTCCGCCGGCTCCTCCTCCTCCAGGGCACCCTTCTCCTCTGACAGCGCCTGATCCTGCTGCTGCAGCGCCATTGCACGCGCCCCCGATGCCACCCTGCTGGCTCAGTGTCCGGTCCGAGCCGGGTCTGGGCTGCTGATGGCACTGCCGCTGGGCTGCTTCGCCGCTGGAGGCACTGCCAGCTGAGCTGAGCTGCAGCGACGAGCCAGTCTCCATGCCTCCTGGTTGCCCGGCCGCGCTCCACCCCTGGCCGCCCTCTGCGCCGTGCGGGAGCCTCCCCCGCGCCGCCCAGCCAGCCTCTCTCACCGTCAGAGGCTGCCTCAGCCCTCTGGCGCCTGGTGTGGACGTGGGGCTGCTGGGCAGGAGCGGCTCCTTCCTGGCTTGCCAGGCTCCATGTCTTGGAAGTGGCCAGGAGGCGGGGAAGAGGGCAAGGCGGCGGTGATGCCCACATGTGCGTCGGAGGTTAGCCAGCCGGGCCTGGAGGCCCCAGATGTGCCGCCGCTTGGCTCTCCACCAGGCTCTTCGCCAGAGCCTCCCCCCGCCCGGGCAATTGTGCGGAGCTGCTTGTGCGTCCTTGGCAGCACCTCCCCCCTTCAATCTCCTTCCTTCTCCATCTCCTTCTTTTCCCCTTCAATCTTCCTTCCTTCCATCTCCAACTCCATCCCTTCCCCTTCAATCTCTCTCCTCCCTACCTTCATTCCCTTCAATCTCCTTCCTTCTCCATCTCCTTCCTTTCCCCTTCAATCTTCCTTCCTTCCTTCTTTCCATCTCCATCCCTTCCCTTTCAATCTCTCTCTCCTTCCTTCCTTCCCCTTTCAATCTCCTTCCTTCTCCTTTCCCCTTCAATCTCTCTCTCTCTCCCTCCTTCCTTCCTTCCTTCCTTCCTTCCTTCCTTCCTTCCTTCCTTCCCCCTTCAATCTCCTTCCCTTTCCATCTCCTTCCTTTCCCTTTCAATCTTCCTTCCTTCCTTCCTTCCTTTCCCCTTCAATCTTCCTTCCTTCCATCTCCATCTCCATCCCTTCCCCTTCAATCTCTTCTCCTTCCTTCCTTCCTTCCTTCCTTCCTTCCTTCCTTCCTTCCTTCCTTCCTTCCTTCCTTTCCCCTTCAATCTCCTTCCTTCTCCATCTCCTTCCTTTCCCCTTCAATCTTCCTTCCTTCCCCTTCCCTCCCTCCCAACATTTTTGAGCAAGGAAGAGCAAGCTTCTCCAGCGAGCATTGCTATATTGTTTTTGTGATTAATCACTATGCTTTAATTATGTTCAATTCGTAACAATGAAAATAACCCTGCATATCAGATATTTACATTACAATTCATAACAGTAGCAAAATTACAGTTATGAAATAGCAATGAAAATAATTTTATGGTTGGGGGGTCATCACAACATGAGGAACTGTAGTAAAGGGTTGCGGCATTATGAAGGTTGAGAACCACTGACTTAAAGGTACACTGCCATTATTTTCAGATCAGGAAGGCTGAGACAGGCATTTTATTTGAAAGACATAAGTTCATGCTTTTAAACATTTTAAAATGGTAATAAAGAATCAAAAGGACATTTTTGGCAATTTCCACCAAGTAAACTGGGCATAGAAGAATTGTCCCTGCAATTACAGCCATAGCACTCAAGACTTAAGAGGCAAATTCTTTTTCTTTCTCTTTCCTGGAAAACCTAATAGGGAAGACAGCCCAAGTAACCCTTGCTGACTGGGTCACTTAGTTCCCAGAGTGATTCCTATGCCTTTCATTTTATTGCAGGAAGTAAAGTGACAGGAAGGCCAAGAGTGACTCATGTTCTCTTATCTTATCACCAGTGAAGGGAAAATATAACAGAATTGTTCAATTCTCAAGAAAGCATTAGACAAAGGATTCACCAAGAGGTTTTCCTTCTTTATTTGTGCTAATCAATCTGCTCACAATTCCATTTAATTTTAAAATAATGTAGTCCTTGATTTACAACAGTTCATTTAATGACCATTCAAAGTTACAATGGCACTGAAAAAAGTGACGTATGGCCATTTTTCACATTTATGACAGTTTCAGCATCCCTATGGTCACGTGATTTACATTTGGATGCTTGACAATCACCTCACATTTATGATCGTTGCAGTATCCTATGCTTACGTGATCACCACTTGCAATCTTCTGACAAGCAAAGTCAATGGGGAAACCACTTAACAATTGTGTTACTAATTTAACAACTGTAGTGATTCACTTAACATATGTGTCAAGAAAAGTCGTAAAATGGGGCAAAATTTACTTAACAAATTTCTCACTTAGCAACATAAATTTTGGGCTCAATTGAAGGCTACCTGTATTTTAAAAACTGGGTAAATGAAGAAAACATATGAAGTGTACTGAAAAACAGACATCTCTTCAGTGTCTTTGATTAAGATAATCCCTACCTTATCCTCCCACCCTTAAGTC